GGTTTCAAGGTTTTAGGGTTTAGGGCTTAAGTAAATTGACGCAAATTGTCAATCCAGGGTTGGGGTTCTAAGAGTTTAGGGTTTCTAGGGTTTTGGGGCTGTTGCGCCATGTAGTCCACATGCTTCAATTTACTTAAGCCTAGGGCCTCGGCTTTTCGGCACGACGTTTCAAATTTACTGAAAGACAATTGGGGCTGATTCACTAAAATCTGCTGGTGCCCCATTTGAATTTACAACTGCGCTGGCCCACAGGCGAAGCCTGCAAAATCTATGGTATTTAAGGGATAGGGTTTAGGGTTTAGGGTTGGCGGTTTACAGTTTGAGGTTTAGGGTTTACGCTTATAGCCCCCAAAGTCCCCTTAAAGTCCAAAACCTTGAGCTAAGACCTACAACCAGGACTACCCCTAAACCCTGCAGCTTAAAGCATGAACGGTCTACAGCTTAGGGTTTAGGGTTTTCTACAGCTTTGGGATTAGGGGGTGAGGTCTGATGCTTGAAGCCCTGACACTGAAAAGCTGCTGACCCTAAAATACCTTTAACGGCAACGTGCAGACTTCTGAAACGGTTCCGACCTCTTGATCCACCCAGAAGTGCCGGAAGTCCTCCTGAATTACAGGCTCAGGGTCTAGACAAATGGGAAAAAGCTGAGGACTCTCATTAGTCCCCATCGAATCGTTACGCGAGGATATATTGCATGGGAGTCTATGTGGACGTATAGCGTTGGGGGTTCAGCAAGTGCTGATACACTGACTCTTACTCGCATGTACGGACCCCATTCTTTTACTACCCGGCTGGTAAGAGCCAGGTTGATAAGGCCGTTGGTATTCTCAGCTGTCACAAAATTAGGTGCGTGAGAAACCGAACAAAACATGACTGCTGAGATCGGAAGCATGCTGATATGCAACCCTAAACCCTAAACCATATAAGCCCTGGAATCCGAAGCCCTGAGGCTCTGGCTATTGAAGACGTGAGGCCACAACGTCGATAAGCTCAGGCACTTAATTAGAACTTAGAACCCAAGGGAAAACTTGTGGTCCAAGTCTAGAAGTACTGCCTTCTCTGTGCCCTGAAGTCAGCAAATCGTACCTTCTTTGCGCTATGTGGATCCTGATGGGAGAGGTCCTGATACTTTAAGACCACCCTAAACTCTAAACTTAGGGTCCTGATCCTTCTTCGTGGAGGCATCATCAACCTCAAGATCGCGGCGTTGCTGCGACGTCGTCTCCGTCTTGTAGCAATCGCAGCTCGCCTGTACCAGTGCCTTCAATGCATTTGCCGCTTGCGCGAACCTGAGTTCACTCTCTCATGACTTGGTGTTTTAGTACTCGAATGTAGGGGCTGAAATAATTCCCACTGTCATTTTTGAGGCCTATTTGAGGCACCTTATACCATCGCTCTACAAAGAATCTAGGACCATCATATTAAACATGTACAGGTGCCTTCAGTACAATCTGTAAAGTGACCACTGGAATCACCTGCCAAGACAGGGTTCTACATCTAATAATGTTCATTCAAACACCTTCCCTTTTCGGGTGTTTAAGGTACCTTTCGGCTGTTACAAACAGAGCCCTCGTGTCGCTGCTGATGTTACCCAAAAAACTAAACCCCAATACCAGGCTCGAGGGGCCGCATATGCAATAATTCCGTGCTTGGGGTTTGGGCAGTAGTTGTTGTGTTACAGGCGTAAGCCCTAAACCCTAAACCGCTTGGGTAGGTGGGCTATTAGGGGAGATTTTCCTCTTGAGCTATGACGGCGGCGGTTCCTAAACCCCGAAACCCAAACCCTGAACCCTAAATACTAAACCCCAGAACCTGTACCCTAAACCCTGCGCAAAAAAACGAGAAACTGAATGCTGTTGGCCACGTGCATTGTGGGACCAAGCCTGAACTTTATCCTTGGCGGTCTTCAGAACAAAAGGTTTAAGGATTAGAGATTGGGGTTCAGGGTTCAGTGTTTAGGGATTAAGTTTAGGGTCTTGGGTTTGGGGATTAGGGATCGGGGTATAGGTTTTAGGGATTAGGATTTCGGATTTCGTCCGGAGAGGAGTTATAACTGTAGGGTTTGTGGTTATAGGGGCTTGTATTACTAAAGCTGCTACAGAGTGTCTACGAGCAGGCCTCTCCTACCCTTCACGCAGACTCCACGCAGACTCCTAAGTTCAGCTTCACACCTTGCGTGCATGGAACTGGGTTGCTGCCAAGGAACTTAAATTAAGCAACCGTAATGGGCATAAATACTAATTAACAGGGTTTCCCCAATATAGTCAGTGAAACTAAGTTCGTAAACAGCACCCAAGTAAAAAGAGCTACCTTAGAACTACTGGCCTTTCAGACTGAAGTCTCCTCTTGGTCTTGCTTCGGATGCTGATGCATGAGCCCCTACAATTCATGCCCGGAAACGTCGGGCCTGAAGGATTCCAGCAATATCCCTTTGGGGGCAGTGGCTAGGCATCACCAAAACGTACTAAGCGCACGATGATGTCCAGGATCCTGAATAGTGCTAAACATCTTTCCTCAATAGCTATCCAGTCCACCGCCGCCGTCGCCGCCGCCCCCTCCACAATCACCACCCCCGCCACCCCCACCACCACTGCTGCCGCCAGCACCAGCACCAGCACCA